AAGCCGGTGACGCGGCAAACCAGCAGGAGCTGAGCTGGGCTGGGTGTGCGGGTGAAGACTGTGGCCATGGGTGGCTCTGGGGAGCAAAAGCAAGGGGGTGAGGGGAGCCCTGGTGGGGCACTGCTTGGCCCCACTGTGTGTGTGGGGCTTTGGGGTGGCTGTGCCAGGATCAGAGTGGCCTCACCTTGTCTCTCCAGATCTGCCCTCCCATACTCAATGAATTTCTTCATGTGGTCAACACAGGTGACATTGAGAAGGTGCTGCAGGGTCGCAGAGAAGCCGGTGAAGGTGTTGAACTGCCTCTCAACTTGCTCTGCCAGCTCACTCTCCTGCTGCCTCTCCCAGTAGCTGTTATCCACATTGAAGCTGAGGAAATCATGGGCATTGTAGGCGAGATGGTAGAATTTGGTATAGGAGCCATTGGGATACAAGTCGCAGCCCGTTGCGCACTGGAACACAAAAGGGTCTGGGGAAGGACAATGGGCATCATGAGTACAACTTGAGCTGGAGATGGAGGCCAAAATTGCAGCCTTGCACCTGCTTCTTTGAGCACAGCCCTTTGCCCCTTCCCTTTGCACCCCAAGTCATTCTCCCCAGGGAGAAGACATGAAAGGCCAAAGCTCAGTTGGAGTGAAAACTGGCCAGTGTTGTGTCGGACAAGAAAGGTTTTTTAAAGTATGTTAATAGCAAGAGGAGGTCTAAAGAAAACATTGGATGATACTTGTTGAAGATGGTCACCTGATGATGAAAAAGCGGAGGCATTCAGTGCTTTTTTTGCCTCAGTTTTTAATAATACTGATAGACCTTGGGCTGCCCAGTCCTCTGAGTCAGAGGACCATGACTGTGGGAATAGTGACTTTCCATTTGTGGACACTGAAATTGTAAGGGACCAGCTGTACCAGCTGAATGTTCACAAGTCCGTGGAGTGTGATGGGATTCATCCCAGAGTACTGAAGGACCTGGCAGATGTTATGGCAGGACCCCTCTCAATCATCCACCAAAGGTCTTGGGAGTCTGGGGAGGTCCCTGCTGACTGGAAGCTAGCCAGTGTTATTCCAATTTACAAGAAGAGCGTGAGGGAAGACCCTGGAAACTGCAGTCCTGTGAGTCTAACCTCTATCTGGAGAAATTATGAAGAAGATCATACTGAGTGCTATTGAAAGGCATTTAAATGCAGTCACCAGGCACAATCAACATGGCTTCACAAAGGGAAGGTCCTAATTTGATATCCTTCTACAATAAGGTCACCAGCCTCGTGGGTGAGGGGAAGGGGGTGGATGTAGTTTCTCTGAATTTTAGTAAGGCTTTTGATACTGTCCCTCACAGCATCCTTCTGGAAAAGTTGTCCAACTGTGGGATGAGCAGGTTCACGGTGCGCTGGGTGAAGAACTGGCTGAAGGGTGGGGCTCCAAGGGTTGTAGTGAATGGGGCTACCTCTGATTGGTGAGCGGTCACCAGTGGTGTTCCTCAGGGCTCAGTCATTGGACCAGTGCTGTTCAATATATTTTATCAACAATCTGGATGCAGGCATTGAATGCACCATTAGCAAGTTTGCTGATGATACCAAACTGGGAGGTGCTGTTGACTCTCTTGGGACAAGAGATCTTGCAAAGGGGTCTGGACAGATTGGAGCATTGGGCGATTGCCAACGGCATGAAATTTAGCAAGAACAAATGCCAGATTCTGCACTGAGGATGGAGTAACACTAGGCACAAATATAAACTAGGAGAGGAGTGGTTGAAGGGCAACCCTGCAGAAAGGAGTCTGGGGGTGCTGGTTGGCTGCAGGATCAGTATGATACCCTGAGTCAGCAGTGAGCCCTGGCAGCCCAGAAGGCAAACCACATCCTGGGGTCCATCAAACACAGCATAAGCAGCTGGTTGAGAGGTGATTGTCCTGCTGTATTCAGTGTTGGTGTGGCCTCACCTGAGGAACTGTGCATTTCTGGGCCCCACAATTTAAGAAGGAGGTGAAGGTACTCCACTGTGTCCAGAGGACGGCAACAAAGCTGATGAGGGGGCTGGCAGGCCTGTCCTGTGAGGAGCACTGAGGACTCTGGGCTTGTCTCGTTTGGAGAGAAGGAGGCTGAGGGGTGACCTTATTGCTCTCTGCAGCTTCCTGAGATGGGGATGTGGAGAGGGAGGTGCTGATCTCTTTTCCCTGGGATCCACGGCCAAGACCCCTGGGAATGGTTGAAAGCTGTGTCAGGGCAGATTCAGACTTGACATTAGTAAACTTTTCTTTACAGAGGTGGTCGATGAGCCCTGTAGCTTGTCATCCTCGAGCTGCCCCTGCCCATGACAGGGTCAGGAGCCTTGGCAAAGTGGGAAGCACTGCTTTGGAGCAGGCGAGTAGGAGGACAGTGTCACTCTGCCTGGCACCCTCCCCTTAGGTCACCAGCATTGCACCAGAGTGTGGGGCCAGGCGCTTGCTCTGTGTGTCCCATGCCACAGACATGAGTGGAGAGGCCCCTTTGACCTTCTACTGCACTTTCTCAGATGACTTCTCTGGTGTCATTTGTGGTGCCCAGAGAGCAATGGGGGGCTGGTGTGAGGGTGTGAGTAGAGCTAAACGTGGCCAAGGTCTGTGCTGGGGACCAGGATGGCCCCATGTGACCTCTGCACAGGACAGGGTGGTTTAGGGGTCTTGCTGGTGCAGGATAAGGCCCATTCTCTGCCCTCCTGCTAGCCCTAGTTTGGAAAAGCTGTTAGTGGTGGCCCTGAACTCCTTCTCACAGCTGCCTGCCTTGGGTGAGGAAGTGCTGAGCACCTGGTACTCACAGGGTGTCTGGTACAGCCTGGCATCATCGGACAGGGACAGGATGAAGTTGTGCATGTAGATGCTGAACAGGTTTTGCAGGTTCGCCCACTCTGCTGCAGGCAGGGCTGGGTAGACCCATGGGTGGAGGTAGAGGATGTTTGAGGTGTCTTTCTGCAGGGTAGCAAAGATGATGTCCTCCAGGGTGGCCCAGGCTGAAATGTCCACAAAGTTGGTGTTGTGGAAGATGAAGGTTTGGAAAAGGTGGAGTTTACAAAAGCCTGTAGGGAGAGGGAGGAGACAAAGCAGCATAGGGGTGCATGAGGATGCAGGAGGAGGTCAGGAGATTGCTGGCTCCAGTGATGGTTGGTGGACCTGGGAGGAGGGGCGGCTTGCAGTGTCCCCCGGGACAGGCAGGGTAAGATGGGGCAGACAAGCAGGACAGGGGAAATCCCCTGGTTTCACTCAGTTTGCAGTTTCCTTCCATGGCCCCTCTGAGCCTCTCCCTGCTTCTCCTCTAATTTCTTTTTTTTTTTAGCCATCCACCACCCCAATGTGACCTTCTGCGAGCTGTCACTTAGCCATGTGGAAGGGAAGGCAGGGAAGACCTCAGTGCTGATTTGAGGCAATGCTTCCCCGAGAAAGGAGCACTTGTGCCAGGACCTGGATCCACTGGAGACCAGAGCACTGGATGAGGCTCCAGTAGTAAGCAGGGCAGAGTGAAGCCTGTTTTGGAGGAGTGGGTGCCCCCCTCGCCAGGGTGCAGTGAGTGCCTGCTCCCAGAATGGGAAACACAGGCAGGGGATGCAGGTGAAGGCTCATTGTAGCTGTGAGAGAAACCTTTGAGCATTGTTTCTCAGGGAGAGAATGCAGAGGATCCAAGGACCCTTCAATTGCAAGAGAAATGACCCCGCAGGCTGAGGACAGTGCCCAGGTCCTGCTCAAGGGATTGGAGCCCAGTGCAGAGCTGTTATGTTATGAGGGGCTGAGAACCTCAGCTGCTCACAGGCTCTCTGCAGGAGGAAGGCATCTCTGAGGGCACCCCAGCTCCCCAGGCCTGTCTGAGGGACCCCTTGCCCCTTGGCTGCTCAGGCATCTGAACCCCAGCACCAGTGTTGCTGGGCTGGGCACGATGGTGTGGGGTAGAGAACCCCAAGCACGTGGGCAGGGATGGGGCACCTTTGGGTGCTGTGGAGTGCGGCGTGGTCCCGTAGTGATGGGGACAGTGGCCTGTCTGTACCCCTGCAACCTCTGTGGGGTCTTGTAGTGCAGGGATGAGAATAGGTGGGGATAAACCATGGCTTGCACTTACCGTCTGGATCTGCCCATGTCCCAGGGAGGAGGAGGAGAAGGAAGAGCAGGAGGTGGAGGTAAGGGGGCTGCATGGTGCCAGCGGCAAGCGTGCAGGAACAAAAGTAGCAGGAGGAGAAAGGGGCCACAGAAACTGTGACACTTTTCCCCAGGGCTGCTCTGCCTGGGCAGCTCTGGTGGTACCAGCGTCATGGGGCGGCCCTCATAGCCAATGAGGCTGGTGCTGAGGTTTTGGGGAGGGCCTGGCCGGGTGTGTTCCCCAGGGGGAAGTGGGGTGGCTGGCGGAGCGCTGGGCTGAGGTTCTCTGGCCAGCGGCTGCAAGTGCTAGGGGAATTTGGGTGGGTGTGAAGTCGGGGCATCCCTCCTGGCTGCAGCAGCACCCTGACACTCAAGGAGATGTAGGCTGAGCCTGGCCCATGGTGGTCTTCGCCTCCTCCCATGGTAACCCCCAGGGGTTTACTCTGTAGTTCCCTGGCAGAGTATTGGGTTTACATAGAAAGGTTTTGGTAGCAGGGGGCCTGCAGGGGTGACTTCTGTGAGAACATGCCAGAAGCTGCCCCCATGTCCAACAGAGCCAGTTCTGGCCAGCTCCAAGACAGACTTGTGTCTGGCCAAGGCTGAGCCCATCAGCGATGTTAGTAGGTAGTGCCTCTGTGATAACATATTTAAGAAGGGGTAAAAACTGCAACATAGTTAAGAGTGTGTAAAAACTGCTGCACAACAGCAGCTGGGAGAGGGAAGTTAGAATATGTGAGAGAAACAACTATGGACACACTAAAGTCAGTGAAGAAGGAGGAGGAGGAGGAGATGATGGTGCAGAGATGGTGCCTGTGCAGCCCATGGTGAAGACCAAGGTGATGCAAGTTGTCCCCCAGCAGCCCATGGGGGCCCACGCTGGAGCAGATACTTACCTACAGTCTGTGGAGGACCCCATGCCGGAGCAGGGGGATGCCCAAAGGAGCCTGGGACCCCATGGGAAACCTGTGCTGGAGCAGGGTCCTGGCAGGACCTGTGGCCCCATGGAGAGAGGAGCCCAGGCTGGAGCAGGTTTGCTGGCAGGCCCTGTGACCCCGTGACCCTGCGGGGGACCCAGGCTGGCGCAGTCTGTGCCTGAAGGCGTGCACCCCGGGGAAGGGACCCACGCTGGAACAGTTCATGAAGAACTGCATCCTGTGGGAAGGACTCACGTTGGAGAAGTCTGTAGAGGACTGTCTCCTGTGGGTGGGACCCCACACTGGAGCAGGGTGAGGAGGAAGGAGTGGCAGAGACAATGCATAATAAATTGATGGCAATCCCTCTTCCCCATCCCACTGTGCTGCTTGGGAGGAGGAGGTGGAGAAGTCAAGAATGAAGTTGAGCCTGCGAAGAAGGGAGGGGTGGGAGGAAGGTGTTTTTAGATTTGTTCTTATTATCCTACTATGATTTTGATTGGCAATAAATTAAATTAATTTCCCTAAGCTGTGACAGTAATTGCTGAGTGATCTCCCTATCCTTATCTCGACCCAGGAGCCCGTTGTCATATTTTTTCCCTCTTGTCTGGTTGAGGAAGGAGAGTGATAGTTGGTGGACACCTGGTGGCTAGCCAGGGTCAACCCACCACACCACCCTTCTTGGAGGCATGCTGCTCAAGGACAGAGTCCCTCAGAGCCTCAGCATGGCTCTTTCATGGCTGTCAGGCATATTGGAAGGGTGACTGCCCCCCATTCCTCCAAGTTTTTGCAGGGGCCGGAGTCAGGCGTGGGAGTAGGAGTCAGGAGTGGAGGAGATCCCAACACAAAACCATCCTGGACAAAGGATGAGATCAACACTGGAGCCGGAGCGGCTTCACATCTGCTCAAAACACCTCCCTGTGTCAGGGGATTGGAGATGTCACTTGAGTCCTCCCTTCCCCTTCTCTCCCTAGCAAAACAGCTCAAATCCCTCCATCTCTGCCTGGTTTGTGGCCTGTTCCATTCCCTCATCCCACTTAGTGGCCCCATGCTGGTCTGACCCCAGGTTGTCACTGCCCAACTGCCAGAGACAGAGACTGGCCATGGAGATGTCGAGGTGTGGGAGAGGTTGCCGGAAGAATTGCTTCTCCTGACATGCCAGAGGAGGTCGGCCATGTTGCCGGAAGAATTGCTTCTCATGACATGCCAGAGTGTCCAGGAAAAGGGAGTCTTCCTGGCCACAACGTGAGGTCTCTGCAGCACAATGGGGGATTTCCTGGGGGGACCTTTTGAGGAGGAAGGATGGTGAGAGCCACAGGAGCCACGTGCAGCTAGAAAAGTCTGTAGCTCTTTAATGTGGTGGTTTTCCAGAGCAAACCCATGTCAGTGCTGATGGGTCAGGGATGGGATGTGAGACAAGCAGGGAGAGCTGGTGGCGAGGGAGTTTGCTGCTGGGCACACAGCCAGGCCTCAAAGTGTGAATTCCTGGTTCTCCCATATGGCCTCGTCACCTTTCCTGCAAGGGGGGGCCACCGTGAGCTGTGCTTGAGGCCGAGGAGTTCATCCCTGCAGAGCTGCTGCTGCTGCAACCCCTGGCCTGACCCATCTGTTCATAAACATGAGACCAGACGGTGGGAGGAAGACCTCACCTGTACTTCCACCACCAAACGCCCCCGACAGAGCCTGTGGCCACAAGGAGCAGCACTCCTATAATGATGCTGACAGTTGGAGCTGCACTGCGGTTTTCTGGGACAGGGAGAGAAGAGGGCAGCTGTGTGAGTGTGGCAGCACCAGGCAGGAGCTGCCCCTCACAGGGTCAGTGGCTGGGACCCCCCCCCACCCATCTCCACTACGGGGACCCA